GTCTCGTCCCGAAGCTGCGATCCCGGACGAATGCGAGGTCCCAAAATAGAGAGGGGCAGAGAAAGAGATAGTACTCCGAGAGTGGGAGTACGGGAAGAGGGAGAAAGAAAAAAAAAAAAAAGGCAATAGAGCAAAAGCACAGAAGCGCAAAAGAGCAGAAGCGGCGAAAGAGCCAAAGCGCAAAAGCCCTTCTGTCCGGCTGACCCTCACTTTTATACTGGGCATGACGCTGCATGATATGGAATGCTAATTGGCCAGTTTGGCCCTCAATCTTAAGTTCCACCACAAATCACAAGGGGAATCGTGTCCCCCTTGTCCCAGCTATGCTCCCCCCTTATCCCGCCGTGCTTCTGCACTCCGGCACACTGAAAAGTCCTTGGAGTTTCACTTCCAACCACAAACATCAACTTGCTATCAACATTCTTCTCAGAGCGAGCCTCTGAGTAAACCCAAAACACGGAGCTCTTCTAGCTGCTAAAAAGAAGAGCTAACACTGTCCCAGCTAAAATCAGGACACGGAGGCACACTGTTGGGTTACAACCAAAACCTCGACTGAAGAAAACATATTTTTAACATGTCTCCAGTATGATGAGAATATAACTTTGAGTTTATACACTCTCTAGTATTCCAGCATGGATCCCTAGCTCCAATGAGACTTTCACTGATCTGTTTCTTTATGTGTTATTTTAATTAGTGTCTCTCAGATATTTCATTCGTAAAGTACTGTTTGTAAATAAAGCTGGAAGACAATGCAAGACTGATGAATTTGAAACATGATCATACTATTCCCTCCCTCAGAATATTAATAGGTACATTTATACACACATATTCACACATATATATTTATATAAATGTACGTATATACACATAAGATTTATGTGACAAGCCGCTTGCTCAAACACGGTTTCTTCCAAACATCTGTCTCAAAATCAGTCTTGCTTAAATAAACAAACAAAATAAAAAAAAGATAGCATTGATACACCAGGTAAAACATCAGGGATAAGGAGCACAATGTGCTACCCCACTTGGGGGAGACACACCACACTTCTCTGTTGACAGAATATGACCATCAACTAGGTCAATCAGTCTAAATGGAGTTCTGTTTTGCTGTTTCTGATACCTATGGAAGCTGGCGTATCTCTATACTACACTGCAGTCTGCAATACAAACAGACTCACAGAGTTTAAGAGCATGCATAGCTCACTGGAGCATGTTGTTAGACAGTGAAAGGAAAGGCACCAACACTGCACATGTCCCATGCAAATATAAGTGCAATAAGGAGGAGAATCGGAAACACAGTTGGAGAATTTAGCAGCTTCAGACTACAACTGTGATTGTCTCTACTGTGCACGGTGGATCACATAAAATCCCACTACTTCCCCTACTTATCGTTTTCCTAACATGGCCTTTTCTGCCCTCTTGAACTTCTGTAGTTCAATAGCTAGTTCCCAGTGTCTCAGATACAGCCACATAAGTCTTCCATTTTGACTTTTGTTTCTGTTCAGCAGATTGCCACAGTAGTTATCATGTCTGAAAATATCTTTTAAGCCACTTTCCATATGTAGAGCCATAGCAACAGGATCAGTATCTGCTTTAACTAGCAGATTTTTCTCTATTTCTAGTCTCTGGCTTCTAGGTACAACAAGACTGCAGTAGATGTCCTGTCTTTCTTTAAGTCCCTCTTCAAATTCCTTTAGTAAAATATTGGCTTTCTTTTGCCACTCTTCTTCCTTTGCCAGACAACTCTGGTACAAGTTACCTGCTGCTCCTGAGTGCAAAAGGACTTGTTTTTCTTGCTCTAATTTCTCCTTCTCCTGTTCTAAGATCCTTCTTTCCTCTACTAGTTTCCGACTCTGGGACACGAGGGCTTCACGGTAACTCAGGGTTCTGTTGCGTTCCTTTTCAAGCTCCAACTCCAAATGAGCAACTGTGCGACGATTTTCTGTGATTATATCCCGGTATTTGGCTTCCAGGTCTTTTTGTAAAGATGAACGTTTTTTATCATATTCTTTTTTTTCTCTTTCTATTTCTTTTTGACATTCTCTGGTCCAGATCCAACCTATCATATATAAGTAAGATGTCAGACATGAGCATCACACATATAACATTGATGGGTATGATTTAATTAACTATGCCTCTGAAGAAGCTATTAGGTGGTAAAAAACTTTCTTTCCTGCCCTTCCCAGTGATACACACTTCTATTCACATGTGTATTCACAAAATTTATTTCTGTGGGTCCATGTTTTACAGTAAGTCACTTTAAATAATAATGTTTGCTTTGAAGTAAAATCTCCCCTAGTCTTTTACTGCTAATACATACACTTCTTGGATTAAAGAAGTAAAATAAAGTTATGGGGAAACAAACTGCAGGTTTGCAATGCAGGAACTGCACTGAGAATTTTTCAGGTCCAGCAAATAAATATACATCAGCAGCTCCTTGGGCTGTTACCTCTGGGCTCTCTAGCCGACTCTTTTGTCCACCCATATGTCCAATCTTTTCAGAGAGCTTTCTAAATTGGAGATGAGGAAATATGGACTTGATTCCATGCGTAAAAAATGGCCGTTGCCTTAATACTATGAACGGTGCTTACTGTTTATAACATCATAAATGAGCAGACCAGAGGAAACACCTAGATGGGGTATCACTGTACTGCTTCAGAGATTCCCCTTGGACTGGTGGGCAAGATGCCTGTGCGCAGCCACCCTCTCCAGCTCCAGCAGACAGGCCTGGGTGCTACTTACGGAAGGCGGCCAAGCCCAGCATGGGGACCAGCAAGGCGTAGTTCCATCTGCTGCCTTCATCCCCAGGCTCTCGTTGATTTGGCAGGATGTTCCAGTTAGGAGGGTCATTTAAATTGTTCATGAAGACACCTTAGATTTGCAGGAGAGAAACACGGCTTTAGCAGCACGCAGACCAGGGCCGCTCCCACAGCCACCCTCTCGCCCTGACCACAGCCAACTCCGGGACAGGTATTTCTGCCCGAGGCCCTCAAACGGCGGCCTCGTTACTTGGGAACTTTGCACGTACGCGCTT